CTTCTGTTTTAGACCCTGTTTTTTTAGGATTTTGTACTCGCAGTCCAACAGCCCTTTTTAATTTCAGTTTTATTTATTTAAAATGTAAAAATAGTCCCTTTTAATTACAGAAATGCCATCCAACTTCAAAAGCACATAACTTTCAAACCGTAGCTTCGTTTTAGGTGGTTCTTTCGCTCACGAGTTCGTATCGACGAGTACTACATGTTAGTAAACTTTGTAGCGTGTTTTTATACTATTTGGTGTACTATTTCTTATTATGTTTTGTGGGCCATGTTTGTTGTTTGTCAGCAGAAGGTGCTGATTACGAGAACCTCCAGAACCAATAGTTTGATATTCCGGAACAAATCCAGTTCGAAGGCAAGTGTCCTTGACCATACTTGCACCTATATTTATTTTACTTTGAGTTAGAGCAGTTAGACCATTAGCTGCATGTTGAGTCATAAACTAGAATCCCGTGTTAGGGTTTACTAGAACTTGTTACATCATCCTTGAAAACCCGGTTTGGCTGGGTAATTGTCATGCTTAGCTTGCAGTCTTGGGTTTGAGAAGGTTATAACTTAATTATGATTAATGATCTATGAAACGTGGGAATGGTATTGTTTTTAGCAACATGGTGACTAGAAATCCGACAGGATGTATGGAAATGGTGGTGGTATGTTGTCAGAATTTGGTAAATGTTTTATGGTGGATGTTGGACTTGGTGGAATGGGGATTATGCTGGTTCTGCTTGGATTCTAAGGACCGGTTCTCGGAGCATGTAACCCAGCTTAATAGCACAGCCACGAGGGCTACATGGCTCTGGCCCTGGCTAAGTAATTAGCTGCCCATTTCTATGCATTGTGGATAGTTTGGTGGCACAAGAGGGGGCCTAAATCGGCGAATCCTTAGTGAATGCACAGGGGTGGGAATTACAGTCTTGTAAAGGCCTTGTAGTGTGACCCCGCTAAGCACCTAGGTAGTGTGAAATGTGATGGGAAAAGCACGACTCGTGGTGAAAGTGTACAACCTCTGCAGAGTGTAAAACTGATATATTAGCCGTGCTCACGGACAAGAGCGGCCTAGACTTCTTCGTGAATAGATGGCTCTAGTTCGGATGGGTGGTTCCCTTGGTAAGGGAATGGTTGGTTGGCTTGGATGGGATCCGAGTGTTGGTTCAAATGGTTCTTGAGGAGAAGGCAGATTTCACCTAGGAATTAGGTGCTAAGGATTTAAGGAAAATTAGGATGTGTCGCTTAAGCGCATGTGTCAAACCATGTAAGCCTTTCCTTATGTTGGCCCTCATGTCATACTTTCCTACACTTGCGGAGTACATTTCGATGAACTCGCCCTTCCTCTTTGTCCCCCCTGCTACCCCACCTAAGCTGGTGACGAGGAGTACGTTGAAGATGGTGCCTTTGACCTCGATGACGTGTTCTAGGCTAGTGCTGCCCCCGGTCCGGTCGACTTCCTATGAAGATGGCGTCTCTTTTCTGCTGGAATTAAATAAAGTCTATGTAATTTTCTTTCAGACCTATGGGCTATTTTATAATGATGTTATCGTTTAAGTAAGAACATTACTATGATACTATAATGAAGTCGACATATGTATGAATAAATTGATCCTGGCATATGCATTCGATTTTGTCCTTAAAATTGGGTGTGACATGAACCGAGATACATCTTCATCTTTCTCTTCCAATAATCATAGCATGTGCCATCAAAGAACGGTGGTTTGCCCCACATGGTTGAACACAACTTGAGCCATCTTTTGACACCGAGATTGTTAAGCCTTCAATCAAACGGTGACCACGGCTCCGATACCACTTGAAAGGTCCTAAATGGCTAGGGGGTGAATAGCCTATAAAAATTCTCTACAAATTCACTAGAGCAAGAGGTTAGTATACTAAATGGTGTAATATAATTTTGCTCTAGCTCTATAAGGGTTGCAAGCCACCTATCCCAACAATTCTATTTACTATAATCTCTAGGCACACAAGAGGCTAAGTCACTACTCATTAAAAGCTCTCAAATAAGCTACACTAAAGATCTCCACTAGGTGAAACTAAACTATCAAGCAAGCTCTCAATACTAGCTACACTAAAGAGCTTGCTACACAACTAGTTTGCAAAGAATATAAGAAAGTGAGTAGAGTGATTATACAACCGTGTCGAGGAATGAACCAATCACAATATGAAAGCCAATTCAATCACCGGGAGAATTCCAATCACAATGGACACCAAGATTTTTCTCTTGAGGTTCACATGCTTGCCCACATGCTAGTTCCCGTTGTGTTGACCAACACTTGATAGTTCGACGGCTAATAGGTGTTTCACAAACCTAGTCCAACAAATGGACGCCGCAAGAACCAACCCACAAGTGAGGTAACTCAATGCCACAAGCAATCCACTAGAGTTACCTTTCAGAGCTCCGCCGGGGAAGGCACAAGACCCCTCACATTCACCGGGAGATGGCCACGAACAATTATCAACTCATGCCAATGCTCCTCCGCTGCTCCAAGCCATCTAGATGGCGGCAACCACCAAGAGTAACAAGAAATCTACAGCCACAACGATCCCCAAGTGCCACTAGATGCAATCACTCAAGCAAATGCACTAGGCATCACTCCCAATCTCACTATAATGATGAATCAATGATGGAGATGAGTGGGAGGTGTTTGCTTAGGCTCACAAGGATATATTACAGGTGAAAATGTGCAAGAGAGTGAGCCAAAGCCGAGCCAAGTCTATTTATAGAGCCCTCTGGCTGTCGGACTGTCCCTGCGGGGGCGTCAAACCATCCGACGCAGGGTCTGATGCCCTGCCACGCCCACTCCCGCGTTACCACAGTCCCATTCAAACGAAACGACCGTTGCCGCCCAATGACTCTCCACTATGCAGAGAAAACCGCCGTCGGACCCGCCAAAGGGTGAGTCCAACGCGGTCTAGTAAGGTCTAGAGAGAGCAAAACTCGTCGGACGCCAGTCCATCACCCACCGTCGGACTAACATCACGGTCCGACGCTACCACGCATCACGCCATGCACGCCTCGCTCTTTCCCGCGTGGATGAACAGCGCGAGCGCCCAGTCCGACACCGCCGATCAACGGGGTCCGACGCTCTCGCGCCCACGTGCTCTGCTCTTGGGCAAACCATCAAACTCGGCCAGACAGGGTCCGACGCCCCCCTTGAGCTAGGGTCTGATGCCTCTGTCACTTCTCCTTTTCTTCTAACTCAACAACCACTTTACCCTTGCTTCCAACTTGATAACCACAAAGTGTAGAACTTGTGTGCACGTGTGTTAGCATTTCTCAAAGCATTTTACAAGGGTTAATTGTTAGCACACTAGGTCCCTAAATGCATATGCATGAATCATGTCATCTAGTGGCACTCGTTAACCGTTTAGCCAAAGATTTTCCCTCTTTATAGTACGGCTATCGATCCTAAACATACTCACACCCTCTATGGTGTCTTAAGTGCTAAAACAAAAACCTATTTGATACTTTTGCCTTGATCTCCTTGTTTTTTGTTTTTCTCTTTCTTCCTTTCTAAGTTGGAGCTTGATCACCATCATCTCATGTCCATCTTCATCTCCATGGACTTCATCTTGCTCCACCACTTGGATTGGACCATCCTATCTAGTCTTCACAATTAGCTTAAGGATTAGTCCATATGTTTCATCAATTATCCAAAACCAAACTAGGGCTTTCACCCGTGCTAGGCCGGGCCGGGCCGTTGGCCATCTATACCTTACCTTGATAACCTTCAACCTAACAACACCTTGATATCTCTAGCCCACGCTTCCCTTCTTTTAGGGATCATGAAAAGCTTGTAACCACCTCTTATTCAACATTAACATCGAATTGTGCCCCAAGCATCCCCCTTTGACAGACTCATCCTCGTCGAACCCATTTTCACTCTCAAGGTTACCTTGTCATCAAATTTTCACTTATTGACAAATGTACCATACTCCCAATTCCTTGATGTTTTGATCCCTCCTGGTTGAGATTCTCTTTTGAGAAGGACAATTTTCAGAAAAAGAAAAAACAAGAATGAATTGTAATATGGCAGGTTAGCAGGACATCTACCAAATCAGTAGAAATACAAGGCTCAGAATGTTATTAGAACTAGACTAATGCCCATGTGTTACACTGGGACAATGATCAAGATTTTTACATGCAATCTTTACTCCACCCCTAAATGTAAGCAATTTTTTTAAAAAAAATTGCAAACAATCATTTCATAAATTCAAACAGCATTTTCTTAGTCATTCTCGAATAGGCCAGGGGATCAAATTGATTATAGAAACACGATCACAACATCTTTGCTACCGTGAGGATCTCCAACAATTCCTTAAAAATAATGCCAAAAAAATTGTTTTTTGCACAGAACCTCCGGCAGCCCATCTCCCCACGTGCACCCCTTCCTCTAGGCGGCTGGTCCTACGGTCTACTCATCATCTTGGACTGAACCTTAGTAATCGGGCGTGGACACGTGAGCTCCAAGGACTTCATATCGGACATGGACACTTGGATCTGGTCTTCGTATCGGAAGTTCGGAACCGGATAGGACGCGTGAGCAGGGATTGAGACTTGGTATCATTGGGTATGATGACGTTTCGATCTTTTCAGATGTAGAGATTTAGAATTTGGGACAGAGTGAGTAACTAAAATCTATGCGATCCAAATGGCTGAAATAATCTAGGAAACGAATCACTACATGGTACATCCGTGGACCTTATAAAACTGGGTGACCTACAAAGTCAAGTCTCCTAAGTAGACAATACAAGAAGTAATCAAGACCTAAACTATTAGCCATACTAACTGCATTAACAATTGTTTGATATTCCGGATCTGAAATTCTGAACTGCAGAGTGGCCCTCAAGCTGCTCTCTGACGGGGGTGGTATCGTTGTAGACGACGCCCTTCCTCTTCGTTGGGAAGATTAAGAACACAAAACTGGACAGGAACGCCATCCCCAGCGGCAGGTTGGTGAGGAGCTCATTGGTGTTGTCAGTTTGTCACTAGCTTTGGAGAAGAGGCACCTCTGGAGCCCAACGTCGCTGAACGGTTAGGAACACCACGGCGGTGAAGAAGGCATGCACGTAGTCCAGCGGGTGGAGCCGCAGCCGCTGCAGCTCGCCGAGCGCCCACTCCCGCTCCTCCTCCTCCCTGGAGAAGTTGAACACATTGAAGCCGCCGGGCGTGGCCACGCCATAGTAGAGCTTGCGGTCACGGCCGATGATGCTGTCGGTGAACGAGAAGAAGAGGGAGAGAACAGCCAGGACGCCGACGAGTACTGCGGTGAGCCACCTGTTCACCGGGTAGCAACTCCCATGGTTTGTGAACGTTGGAGGCAGCGCCTGGTACGCCAGCACAGTACCAGTCGGCAAGAGCTACGCCAGGTTCGCCGTACGTGCTTGCCATCACCTTGTCGGTCGCAGTCCCGGGATTGGGTGCTGACGGCATAGCCGTGGATTCATCATCGGCGACCTTATTAGGCATGTGCGGGGCTGTAATGATCGTCGGTGATCTCACTGGCACGCCGTTGGTCTGCGAATTAGGAATCTGGATCACGGTGGCCGGCGGTGGAGATGCCATTGTGGACTTGCTGTATGCTTTGTGTTTGTCAGTGTGGCATTGTCCATTTACATGCGTGAGGTAGTAGCTTTTATATAGGCAAAAATCGTTGGAGAATGATTCCCTGATTGGTGCGTTGATTTGTCAAGGCTTGTTAGATGCATGCATGGACTTCAACTTTTCAAGCATGCGCCTTGGCAGTCAACCTACCTTGAAATCCTGAATACGGTATTTTCTAGCAAGGCTACTTGAAATTCTTTAACGTGCTTTGTGCAAGTTGTGTCTCGGTGATTTGCGAGAATCTACCTTTGTTCTTGCTGCTAGGAATTAGAAATAAACCTGACGTTTTTATCGTGCCAAGACCTAGAGTGCCTCCTTCCTGGAAAGTGAGTAAAGCGTAGTTTGTTCACTCAACTTGTGTGTATTTTTGTTTGGTTGAAAAAGTTTGAATTTTTTCTGCTGTTAGAACTATTTTGCAATATCGTTTCAGCTTTTATTTGATATCCTTAGGAATTTTTATCAGTAGCAATTGTTTTACATAAATTCTATCTAGGTGGCATTATTAGTTCATCTCCGAAGATCTGTTATTCTTTGTTGATGCTGTATTTATCAGACCAAAGGCAAAAGCACCAAAACCTGATACAAGTTCAAACTCTATTGGAAAAGGAATCTCGCCCTTGACTCCTTGAGATTCGAAGGATCTTCCAAAGAGCAGCAGCTACTCCTTTATCACTTTGAACTGATCTCTAGAATTAACTTCTAGTTAATTGACTGCACCTCACTCTTTAGCTTGCCTATCAACTTCAACTTCAATCCTCAACACTGAATTATAGCTTCTCTCTCCAGTCTCCATTAAGCAATCCATTCCAAGAATCATATCAGTACCGGCGGTCTTTAAAACAATCGGACTTGCTAAGAATTCTCTACCCTCTTATAAAGAGATCAACTGTGTGGGTCACTTAAAATTAGCTTACATCTCTCCTCCGAGTGAGTTTAACCAGTATGGTATTCTTCAGTGCACACATTGGTATATACTATTCTTCTTAACGAACTGATATGGAACGAAAGAATGTGAGGCACCCAAATGACGAAGTCTAGGATTTCGAAATGGAAAGCCTGGCCTGCAGTGAGTGCGGGGGCAAAACGGGCTAGCCTCGCGCAGTCTATGGTGAACTTGAGGGTCTCAAAGCAGATGCTGCCGCTATATGCTATGTCGAGAATGCCATTTGATAAATTTCAAATTTGTTATATTCTTAGTGCTTGACCTAGTTAAGTCTAGTGAGTTAGGTGTGGTGCACACTTATTAAAACTAGCTCTAGGTAGCTCCTACGAATGCCTAAGATCCTTTGGAGCAAACTTCATTCACATATGATCGAGAGTTGGAAGTGAATGGAGGGTCAAATGCTGACCGGACGCTGGCCCCGGTGCGACCGGACGCTGACTGCAGGGTCCGGTCAGTTCATTGGATCTGCTGTCTACGTTCGGTGTGACCGGACGCTGGAGAGGTCGAGTGACCAGACGCTGAAAGGCAGCGTCCGGTCGACTCCAGTAAGGTTTCAGAGAAGGAAATCTGCGACCGGACGCGTCCGGTCAGTTCTGACCGGACCCTGAGGGTTCTACGTCCGGTCGAGTCCAGTAAGGTTCCAGTAAGGGTTTTATGCGACCGGACGCGTCCGGTCAGTGCTGACCGGAGCGTCCGGTCAGTGTCCGGAGCGTCCGGTCACCCCGCAGAAGCTCATAACGATTCGTTTTTCAGGCTGCCTTATAAATAGAAGCTCCACTCGTGTGTGGAGTTGCTTTTGCTCATTCCAACAGCTGAGAAACACGTTTGTGAGTGCCAAGAAGAGCAAGGTCCTAGTGAGGTGATTGAGATTTGAGAATTCAAGAGAGTAGCATCATTAGTGAATCAAGAGTAGTCAAGTGTGCATCCATCTTCTCATTAGGCTTCGCGTGGTCAAGTGAGAGTTTGTGCTTGTTACTCTTGGTGATCGCCATCACCTAGACGGCTTGGTGGTGATTGGGAGCTTGGTGATCACCCGGTGGAGACTGTGGGTGACCCGACTCAAGTTGTGAGCGGCCTTGAGTAATTCGCCACGACAGAGTGTCGAAAAATCAACCCGTAGAGAGCACTTGATCCTTGCGCGGATCAAGGGGGAGCTACACCCTTGCGCGGGTGCTCCAACGAGGACTAGTGGGGAGTGGCGACTCTCCGATACCTCGGCAAAACATCGCCGCATTCCTCTCTCTCTCTCCATTTACTTTGAGCATTTATTTTGAGTATTTACTTTGAGCAATTCAATACTTGTCTTTACATTCATAGAATTGTCATGCTAGAGTAAATTTGGAACATAGGTTGAAAGTCCGTTGGGCGATTAGTTTGATAGAAACACTTTTCTAGGCACAAGGGGTCAATTGGGCTATCCGTAGGATTTGATTATTGAAAGAAAATTTAGAATTAGCCCAATTCACCCCCCCCCCTCTTGGGCATCTTGATCCTTTCAATTGGTATCAGAGCCTCGTGCTCTCACTTTTAAGCTTAACCGCTTAGAGCAAGATGTCTCACGGGGATGGACCTCCTCCTATCTTTGAGGGAGATGATTTTCTATATTGGAAAATCTGCATGGAGGCGTACTTAGAGGCTCTAGACGTTGTCGCAAGGCTTCCCAAAACCTCAGGATGCTACTAATCTTCAAGACGATGAGGTTAATTATGAAAAATGGAATGCAAAGGCTCGCAACACAATCTTTAGAGGCCTTTGCAAAGATGTGTTCAATCGCGTAAGGAACCACAAAGACGCCCATGCTCTATGGTCAGACGTTTGTGCGCTCCATGAGGGAACTAAGAGTGAGCGTGAGGAATGCTATCATCTTGTGATTAAAAAGCTAAATTCATTTGAGATGCTTCCCAAAGAATGTGCTAATGAGATGTATTCACGTCTGAATGTTCTTGTAGAGGAAGTCAATGGGCTTGGACTCACTCAAATGTCACCATCCGATGTTGTGAGAAAGATCTTGAGTGTCCTCCCCATTGAAAAATATGGGCATATTGTGACCGTGCTACACCAAGGTGATCTTTCCACCGCTACACCGACACAAATCTTGGAAAAGATCAATGCTCATGAGATGTACATGCACATCACCCCACAAGATGGCTCAACCTCTAACAAGAAGAAAGATAAAGACTTAGCATTCAAAGCTAGCCAAGAGAAGGGCAAGGCAAGACTTGAGTATGAAAGCTCAAGTGAAGATGAAGTTGATGAAGAAAGTCTTGCTCTCATGGTAAAGAAGACCGCCAAGATGCTAAAGAAGCTAAACAAGAGTGGCATCAAGTTTGACGGCAAGAAGAAGAAGTTCTTCACTAGCTCAAGAAGAAAGCCAATCTCCGAGATGGATTGCTATAATTGTGGCAAACTTGGCCATCTAGCTCATCAATGCACAAAGCCCAAGAAAGACAAGTTCAAGATCAAGAACAAGGGCAAGAAAGATGACTCAAGCAATGAAGATGAAGATGAGAAGAAAAAAAACAAGCCATACAAGAAGAGAGATGGCAAAAAGAGGGACTTCTACAAGAAGAAGAAGAGTGGAAAGATCTACATTATCGGTGATTGGCTCACGAACATTGATTCATCAAGTGGATCATCCGATGATGATAGTGACAATGAGAAGGTGGCTGCCATTGCTATTGATCTTGCATCGTCACCGCCATCATCCTCTACACACCTATGCCTTATGGCCAAGGTTGAACGCAAGGTAACTAAGAATGATGATAGTAGTGATGATGAGCAAGCTAGTGATGATGATAGCGATAGCGATAATGATGATTCACCTACATATGATGATCTTGTCAAAATACTAAGAAACTACACTAAGATCATTAGAAAGAGTAGAGCTACAAATGAAAAGCTTGATGCTAAAAATGACTCACTCTTAGCTAAGTGCGATACATTGGAAAAAGCTAATGATGAGCTTAGAGAAACTAATGATGCCATATCATCCAAACTCAAGGAGCTAAAATCCTCTAAGAAAAAGCTTAAAGAAAAACATGATAAACTTGAGTGGGTGCACAATGAGCTCATCATTAGTCACAACAAGCTAAAAGATGAGTATACAACTCTTAAGATCAATCATGATACTCTTGTTATTGCTCAAGAATTCCTACCAAATGAGCCATATGATGCTACTAACCATGTTGTTAAGATTGATATAGCTACATCATGTGATGATTTGATTGATGAGAGCATTGAGCAAGGATCTAGTGGCAAAGGCAAGCAAGTGGTTAAGTGCAATGACTACGATGAATATGTAAAGCTCAAGAACACCAATGAGAAACTTATGAAAGATCTTGAAGAAATGAAAAGCCACAACACCATTATGCTTGAAACTCTTGATCATGATGAAGAGTTGATCCTTGAGAATGAGAAGCTCAAAGAAGAAAACAAAAGACTCAAGGAAGAGAAGAACAATGATGTTCTCAAAGAAGAAAACAAGAAGCTCAAGATGGAGAGAGAACATCTCAAGGTTGGATTGAGCAAGTTTGCAAGAGGCAAGCATCTTCAAAGTGAGCTTCTAATGAACACCATCATGAAGATGGATAGGAGTGGCATTGGATATGTGGCACATATAGAGAAGAAGAAGGCTCAAGTTCAACAACAATAATCAAAGCCAAAGCCAAAAGCAAAGAGATATTTTGAGTATGGACAAGAAGGCCACTTTGCTCATGAGTGCCAAACACTACCACCACAACCCTTGCCCAAGCATGCTAGACCCTTTGCGTTCAATGCTCACTACATGCTTAGAAAGGACCCTAATGGGATAATGAAAGTCATGTTCTTAGGACCACCCAACAAGAATAGGCCTAAGAAGATTTGGGTTGCTAAGTCACTTGTTGAAAAGGTGAAGGGCCCTCAACAAGTTTGGATGCCTAAAGCTTGAATCTCTTGTGTGTAGGTGAACTACAAGACCGGTGGAAGTTATTGGGTTATTGATAGTGGTTGCACTCAACACATGACCGGTGATCCTCGT